ACCCACCGGACCTAAAGCCCTTTCTTTGTGTTACAAGACCATCACACAGAGCACCCAACACCCTCCTTTGCGGCCCAATAGGCAACCGAAACAGGGGTAATATGGTCCGACACAGAGTGGATCAACTCTCTTACGGCCCTTAAGGGACAGACCCAATGTCACTCACATATAGAAGCACATAAAAAATTAGTTTACCGCTGGTACCTCACACCCAGCAGGTTACACAAAATATACCCCACAGTACCTGGTTGTTGCTGGAGATGCGGGGAAGCAGAGGGTCATATGACCAATATATGGTGGAACTGTAAGGACTTTCAACCACTGTGGGATGCAGTAAATTACATGTTCATAGCAGTGGACCCTGATCTACCACCCCTAACCGTACAAGCAGGACTATTCCTGAAACTACCCAACTCCATACGTGCCACACACAGACAACTGTTCATGCTTACCATACTAGCAGCTAGGAACCAAATTGCTACACATTGGAAACAGCCTATATGTCCACCCACGACACGTCTGCTGGAAAAACTCAAACACTACTACGTGTATGCAAAAATGTCGCTTATCTCCACCAAACACACTGAATCCTTTGATGTAGCATGGAAACCGTGGAAAGATAGAGGTTTCTTGGATAGGGTACACTGAGCCGAACACATAATATTGCATCACTCTAGGTTACTATGTACTGAAATTGTCTACCGCACCACAGTATGACTATGAAGCAGGAGTGTCAGATATATTAGATAGCTCATGAAGAGATCATGTATTGCGACTTGAAAAATGTGAAAATGTGACAATGCAAATGCCCCCACCCCCTCCTTCCTTTCCTTCTGTACCCCTCCCCCCCATGTTTATGCTGAAAAACAAAATAAAACATTCAAATTTAAAAAATAAATAAACAAATAAATATATAAAATAAAAATGTAAATAAAAATAAAATAATAAAAAGTGATAAAAAATAAGAAAGAAATACGAAATAAAGCCAAGTACTACAGTGAAATCCGAAGGATGGAAAATAAATACAAATTATTAGAAGCTCAACAATACAAGCATATATATATATTTTTTGTTATTATTTATAATTTTTACTTGTATTTTATTTTTTCTTTTGATTCTTTTTTGTTTATTTTATTTATTTTAGTTGTATTTTTCTTATCATTTATTTATCTTTCTTCTCCTCTTTCTCTTCTCTTAATTCTCCCTTTCCATTTCTTTTCTTTTCTGCCGTCATGGCAGATCTTTTATTCCTTTATCTATCTGTCCTGGTTATCTGAGTAGCGATTTAGTCTGCTCGTTTAGTCTAGAGGTGTGCCCATATCTTTCGATCAAGGACGGATGCACATTACTGTGCGCTGCCCGTGCCTTAGACATGCGCTTTTTTCACATGCGCGGCTAGGTAGTGTTCATGCATGGGCTCGGTGTTTGAGTGTTTTTTTACACACTGCAGCCACCGTACTTTACTCTCCTTTGCCAGAATGACGTAACCACGCATGGCTGTGCACAGTAGACGGCCCGTTTTACCCGAGCTCTATTTTCAATTTTATTTAAAGGACCACTATAGGCACCCAGACCACTTCGGCTTAATGAAGTGGTCTGGGTGCCTGGTCCAGCTAGGGTTAACCCTTTCTTCTATAAACATAGTTTCAGAGAAACTGCTATGTTTACACTGACGGTTAATCCAGCCTCTAGTGGCTGTCTCATTGACAGCCGCTAGAGGCGCTTGCGTGCTTCTCACTGTGAAAATCATAATACTGTTCTCATTCAGTTAGAACGCAATTCGGCAGTTTCGTCTAAAATGACAGGAAGCATCGTGGGAACACAGAGGAAAGGTAAGAATTATGGGAAAATTGCTCTGACCAGTCGAAACAAAGCACACTTTGCTCCTCCGCTGGTCAGAGCTGGTCAAGCGGAGGAAACCTCCATAAGGCAAAGAATCCCTACTTATGATTTTAAAGAAAACTAAAGAAGACAGGAAGAAAAGAAGAACAGATACCGAGAGAGGGGGAGAAGAGGAAGAGATTTAGGAAAGGTAAGTTCGGCATGACAGTGCCGCATTAAACCTGAACTCCTTTTATCTTTTCTTATTCCTTGTCTCAGCCATCTACTTGTTTAATCCTTTCCATGTTTTTTGAGGTTCTGACGCAATGTCTTGATTTATTGATTGAATTATTTTAAATATATGTTTATCTAATGAAATTTGAATTTGCACAATGATTATTTGTTTGTATTATGTGTGTATATAAATGCAATTTTGTCACTGTGGTGTTAGCATGATAAAGACCTGTATAGATCGAAACGTTGCAATAAGTCTGCCTGGAAGCGAGTACAGTGAGTGCCTGAGATTTTTTCATTTATACATATACATACATATAAACACATACTAACATACACACACAAATACTGAAATACATACACATACATACATACATACTGAAATACATATGCACAGACAAACATACATACTAACATACATACACACAGACACATACTGACAGACATACACACAGACATAAATACATACTGAAATCCATACACACAAATACATACAGACACATACTAAAGACATACAAACACACATACAGACAGACATATATATATAGATAACACAATGAAATTCCAAGCACTGTAACGTAGAAAAGCACAGGTGTTAAAATGACGGTCTTTTATTATATATATATATATATATATATATATATATATATATATATATATATAGGGGGTCATATATAAGATGCGTGTGTCCTTGCACTCAGGCCTAACCAAATTGATTTAAAAGCCGGGTGCTATCAAAGCCATAGCCCGAAAATATATAAGTGAAAAAACGGCTTGCACTGGTCAGTTCATCCTGAGGAAAACCCTGAACGAGGGCTGAAACGTTGGTGTGACGATTTTCTGGATACGTTTTGAATAAAGAATAACCTTTTTATACTACAAGACCGTGAGTGCAAGCCGTTTATTCACTTGTATGTATGTATGTTTGTATATATATATATATACACACATATACACACACACACACATATGTATATATATATATCACTTAATAGACCCATGACTATTCTCCGCTTATATTGAGATCAAATGCTGTGCATAATATGTCATTAGTGCATGGATATCTGTCATGCAAGCATATTTTTTAATTATTTCTCAAAAAATGTTTTAAGAAAAAATAATTTATCAATTGGGCAGGTCAACCATTTCTGAACAGGTAAACCAATTTTATCAATAAAAGCCATGGGACTTGTGTGCAGTGCTGTAGCACCTACACAGGCAGTCCAAATCAGCGGCCAGGTTACAGAGAATGTTCTTAAGCTGCAAGTCCATCAGTGTATTTGCATGGCTGGACACAGGGCCGGCACTTCCTATAGGCCAACTAGGCAGCCGCCTAGGGCGCTGCTTAGGAGGGTGGGGGCAGGCACTGACTTTATGTGCAAGTATGCTCTGCGGCCGCCCCTCTATTATTTCGAGTGTGCCGCCGGCCATATTACCGGGCGCTAGGGAGCACTTACATTGCTGCTCACTAGTGCCCGTAGAACACCAGTCCAGCGGCATCCAATTCAGCCCTCAGAGCCACACCCCCTCCCAGGCATCCAATGCTGAAGGTAAGATGTGTAATTGTCTGCTTCAGTCAGTATGTTTGTGTATGTCAGTCTGTATGGGTCATTGTGTGTCTGTATGGGTCAGTATGTGTGTCTCCATAATTTGCTGCAGAAAGCAATTTGTCTGAGAAATATTAGAGAAATATATGAATAAATAAAGGGGTGGGAGTGTTCAAAGTGTCACTGTTTTTTACTGTATCCATCAGTTTTTTTCATTTACTTTTTTCGGTGTATTTATCAATCCTTATATCACTTTTTCTGCGCGAAAAGTGTTCTATTTTATTTCTCTTTTTATCACTACTAAATTTGATTTTCGTTTTTGAAATTGACAACACTGTTTATACTATTTTTAGAAGAATGTAATAAACACAGATTAGAGACCAAAAATAAAGGCACTTTTCAGCTCACTTTGATAAATCTTCCACATTTTTGGGAATGTTAGAGGGTAAGTATTTCTTGGGGAGTTAGAAAAATGTACCTGGGTAAGATATGGGAAAAATATGGTTGTGGCAAGAGACAAAAGTATTATGATGACTCAATCCTGTGAGGGTATAGCTAGTTTAATAAATAAACTATTAGCCATCCAAAGAAATTAGGGAGCCGCTCAATGTCTCTGCTATCTTTAAAGCACCACAACCACTACAGCTTGCTACACCAGTGCCTTCCCCAACCTCCACTAGCAACGCCAGAGAAGGAATTTTTTATTATCGCTCCTGAGCTAAGTTGTTCACTCTCTGCCAATGAAATTCAGATAACTGTAAATGTAATAGATTTACAATGAAACGGACACAAATAGTTTCTCTTTTTTTCTTTTTCAAATGTGTACAACTTATCTGCATTTTGGCCAAAATCATATCTGATTTTATCGCAGTATTATGTAAATTAATTAGGTGATTTTCAAATGATTTTGCTTAATCAAAATTGCAATAAATGCATGTGTGTCATGACATGAAAGCTGGTGTCTCTTCGCATGAGAGTAGGAATGGAAAGGGAAGTTTAATATGCATCTTTTGAATGTCACAGTATAAAATCAAATGTAGGTCAAAATAGGAAAGCTGGCAAATGTTGCATATTAAACTATTTGGGCTAAAAAGTGCCATTTATTTAGTCACACCTTGAACAGTATAGTTGATATATATAGTTCAGCCTTCCTCACACCTGTTTTTTACTGTTGAACCAAAAAAAAGGCAAAAAAAACACTTCCAATTTTGCAACAAGCAAGGGAAAAAATTCCATCTTAACCCCAAATCTATATATTAATCCAACCTCCTCTCTGTCAATACATCCACCAGCCACTTGCATCCATCAGTGTGTGGCATCCTTTACAGCGCGGCCACCTAAGAAACTACAAGTCCATTCAATGGCCGGACTACAACTACCACAGGCACTGGGCAGCCAGGCAGGAAGTTGCCCCTCCCTCCTCATTGTGCAGAGCTTAAAGAAAGCGGAAGGAGGCAGTGGAGGAGGCTTCATTTCAGTGCGAGTCTGCGAAATAGCGGCACGGTCCTCTTTGCTCATCGAGACACCGTCTGCCTTCCTCTCCTCCCCCCATCCTTTCTCCACCGTTTCCTCGGCCATATTTCTAATTCGGCTTAATAATGGTAAGTATATGTATCATGGTGGGGGGGCGGGGGGTGGAGGATTGTGGGAGTTTGAGCATCACAGAGACCCCGTTGTTGGAGATGCTGCGGGGGCATCTCCCTCAGGCCGCCATTTTCTGCAGCTACCGTCATGCTGACGGTCGGTTCCCCTGACCGGCAGCCTATCTTCAGTGGCCGCTGAGCAAAGACGCCGGCTGTGTTTTTGTTCCCACTGTACCTGGCTTAGACTATCTAGCAGCCTTTAACTATCTTAAAGCTGGAATGGTGACATGTCGACGCAATCTGTGGTGACTGCATTGCACACTGCTTACCCGTTATCTCACGGCTGTGATGCTCAGTAACACCTGTAATGGTGGCGGCCGCGCTCCCCTTTCTGGCTTTCTCTCATTGATGCCGACTTTACGTTGGGGAGGGGGCGCTGCGCGCTCACTCTCTCGCGCTCAGTGTGTGTCGCGCGGCGACATGACAGCCCTTTTGGTCCTCGAGCAGCGAGTGCCGTTATATTACTGGGTGTGGCCAAGGATCGCGTTACGGCTCCATCCGCACAAACAAAACGCCCGCTGACGGATGTTTCATACTATTTGAGGTTTTGTTTACCCTAGTTTGTCTGGAATATTTCCATGCGCATCTTAAGATGCAGTGGTTGTGATTTTAAGGTGGCTTTAAATGCAGGACCACCCCCGGTGAGTGACGGCAGGGATGGTGCCGTTACACGGGCGGGTGCGGTGAATTGTCAACTGGCTCACAGAGCAGTCTGAAGGCTCGCGTGCGCCTGGTGTCTGGAGGCGCGCGCGCAATCCGTTAGTGTTTTTTTTTGTTTTGGTTTTTTTTTCTTCTTGTCTTTCTGTGGCTGTCCGCGCGCCCAGCGCTCCCTCCCGCCGTTACATGTCCCCGAGCTAGTTAGTGAGGCCGTGTCAGTGGCGAGCAGTACACATATATTAAATGTACGAGCAACTTCTAGCGGCTGTCAAGCGTTAAACAGCCGTTGCGACTACACTGGAAACTGATGTGGAAATACATCCTGGGCATGATAATGTGGGATCCTAGCTCAGGGATAGGCCGCTTTCAGCACTACATCTCCCATTAATGCTCTTAGCCGCAATGGACCAGAGTCAGGGGAGATGCAACCATCAGCGCCCCTAATTTGGATGGCATCTTTCTAACTGGAACAATAGTATTTTATTTATTTAGCACCAAGCTTCAAACCCCCTCTCGGACAACTGGTCAGGAGTTTCCCAAAAAGAGAACTCGACACATTACTTTTGTATATTAAACTTGCCGTCAATGCAGAAGGTTTAAAAAAAAAAAACTGATTCTGATCAGTTTTTATTTATTGTAAAAGGAAAGAAACTAAAATACAAATAACTGTAGACCACTTAACTTTTTTGTTTTAATTAAAAAAAACACAACTTGTGCAATCAAATGTGTCTACAATTGAGCATCCAGGCAGTTTCCTCTCTGCACCAATTCTGTAATGAGATCAGTAATGTCAGATGGTTCTAGTAGAGAATGCAGGCATATGGTGCATGCACAGGAATTGCCTTGATCTGTCAGTCCTATGCTGCTTTGAGAAGCACTGGCTGCTTTAAGTCAACCTGGTGCTTGCGGAGTCAGAGCACATCCTCCTCGCTCCTAAATCGATGAATAGCAGACTAAAGAACCATTTACTGTAGTTGGACCACCAGGGATCATGGCCTCCCTCCAAATTCAGATTAGTGAGTAACTGTTCTAGTCTTTAGGCGGACGTCCCAATCTGGGTCTTTTTTTTACTGCCCTCCTGACTACACTACATCTAGCTGCCCCTAGGTGCATGCGCGCATATGTGTGGAGATGCACTCTTCGGTCATTATGAAAGTGGTATTTAATGTATCAAAAGATCTACATACATCCGATTGACATTTCAAGCGATTTGGGTCTTTATTTTGTGACCGGTCCTGGGTGCCACCATCTTAGTGTGGGCAGGTGAAGGCCCTGTGGGACACATCATCTGCACACACTAGATAGTGCTGTGATTCCTGCGCATGCCCAGTAAAACACCTGGAATTTCGTTCATCAGACTAAATCAGACTAAAATTAATAGAAATTTGAATGAACGAAGACCTCTTTGTTTGTCTGGTTTATTACAAGGAGGGATCTACCGGCTCGCTGTTCCCTCCTTGTAATATGTGAACATGGAAGTGGCAGGGAGCAGTGCTCCCCGCCACTTCCAAACTCCCTCCATACGCCCCTCCCATCATTCTATGAGGGTCAATGGTGCATTTCAGAATGTTTGCAAACAATAGGCACCAAGATGCTTCCACTGACCTGAAGAGATCCTTGGTGTAGGTGAGTGAGAAAACAGACTAAGGTCTGCATATGGTACCGGGCAGCACGCGAGTCATGTGAATTTGTAGCAAGAGACAAGTTATTAGTATTTGTGTAGGTCACCATGTATTAGAGATGTTATGAGTGGTATCCTGATATGCATAACAAACTAAACCTATATTATTTAAACATTTGTAAAGATACGAGGCACTTGCGATCAGCAAGAATCATGAGACTAAACGGGAAGCTTAACTGATTAGTTATTGACTTCGCTGGACAACATATACAAGAGTATAAATCCGATTTTTAGGGAATGTTGCTATGTATCAAATTAACAGGGAGAAAGATGAAACTGGGATATGTTAAGACATAGTTCCCTAGGAGGTTTTCAGAGGCTTGTGTGCTCAGTATGAAAGTCTAGGCGAAACAATTCTCTCTAGCACACCTAATGCACTTCACCACTGAACAACTTGTCTGCTCTCTTGCGCCGTCTGGGAGCTCATTCAGCCGATTCCTGCTGAGGCTGTATGATAGTTCTGCTTCCCAGCGAGGCAGTGCAAGCCTTTGGACCCAGATGTTGGCCGGTGTAGGCCAGCTTGCAAGGTCAGGATGAGGCGTTGCATACCGCTGGCTTGGAAACCTGGCAGGTGGAGTAAGTAGGCTTGCTATTGGTAGCGTAGCACCATGCCCCAGCCGTTTAAGTTTCTGCGGCAACTTGTGCTGAGATGGAGTTAGGTGGGTCTGCTTTCTTTTCAGCCACTGTGAGTTGGGAGCCATGTAAAGTTTGATCGTTTAAACATCAGGATGTTGGAGTTTTAGTAGGGTCTCGCACGGAGCTCTCGCTTGGTGCAACCAGTTGGCTCAGCGGGCAGGCCCTGCTTTATTTTTATTTTATTTTTTTTTAAACCATCCGGAAGAACGTCTTATTGTTTGTCATGGCGAATTGTATATGACCCCCATATTAGCATAAGGGAGATTAAAATCTCCCAAATGCCCCTACTAGCTATGCTGCAAGTAGGGGCATGTATACTAAACAGTGAGCAGCCAGTGGCCTGCCACTCCACAAATCAAAGAGGACCTAGCACAGGTCTCAAATTGGTTATACTTTGATTTTTATATAGTTGCATGGAGATGCCTTAGGAACTGACTGCACGTTTATTAATATGCAGTCTGTGGCCACTGGTAGTTTTAGCAGTTTGCTTTCATCCAGTGGGTTTGGCGTGCTCCGGTAGCTATGGGGATGCTGTCAGACCTACGTAACAGGTGGGCAGAGTGTCCGTTGACGTGGGAGTTTCCACGAGCAGTAGGCGTGCATTATGGGCATTCAATTGCCGAATAGCATCGGTAGTTGTCCTAGTGATGCCAGATAACTTACTATGGAGGCGGACCATGCCTCTGACGTTTTTGGAATCACTCAGGTGTGCAGCCAAACTCCAGAGCAGTAGGCCCAACCCACTTAACGAACAGCTGGGGGTGGTTAATGATTCATTTATTCAGTATAAAAGCAGTTTATTTGTATTTGATCATTTCTTTGTGTCCTGATGAAAGTTCCACCCCAGAACTGAAATGTCTACAATTCGTGACAATAAATTACTTTATTGGAAATCCAGGAGTGCCGGCAAGTTTTCTGTTTTGCAGTTTAGAAGTGTGGCTAGGCCCCCAGTGTCATTTGGATGGAGGTAGGAGTGCAAAGGCTTGGACTATTTTAATAAATATAAGTATGTACCTTGGTTTACCAATTTAATGGGTTCTCCGGGAAGTTTCTTATTGCGAAAAGCTTGTAAACCGAAACATGGTTTCTCATAGGAATGCATTAAAAACCAATAAATCCGTTCTGAAGGTCAGAATAAAGTCAAAATGAGCTGGCATGGAAACAAACCCACAATGCAGAACACACAGTAAAAGGCATGCAAATGATGAAGCTCGGCTCCCTACTTTTCCACCGCTTGAGAAATGTACCCAAACCTACTGCAAAGAATTTCCAGAATGTCTCCAAAACTCTATGCAAATGCCACTCCCAACACCTTCACACCAGACACCACGTGCTACCCACAGACTCCAGCATGCAGCATAGCGGTGCTATAACCCTCCCAGTTGCAATGCATCCTGGGGAAACTTGCTTTGTATTGCGAAAAATTTCTTTTTAAACAGAGGCATTATTTTTAATGGATTTTCATTTGTAAACCGAAACTTATGTTAACCAAGGTTTTGGTAAACAGAGGCACCACTCTGTGTGTATGTATTTTATTCATAAATCTACATGTAGACTTCAAATATATAAATATGTATATGATTTAAATTCTACATGCATATTTATGTATTTTATTGATTGCAATTTCAGGGACCTGCCTGACAACCAGGCCGATAGTCCAGAGAATTTAATTTGCTAGCACTGTATTTAACCCTGTAACTTTCCATGACACCCTAAAACCTGTACATAGGGGGGAGGGCTCCTCTTTTACTCAGGAGACTTTGAACACAAATTAGTGTTTAGAAACTGTAAAACATTTGAAGAGTGTATGGTAGCCCATGAATGAGAAATATCCCCATGATGACATAACATTTGCAAATACCCAAGGTATTGCAAGTGGGGTTATGTTCAGGTGTTTGTGTGTGGGTGTTTTTTAGCCACTTAGTCTCTGACACTGGCCCAAGTTAGTGTTCATAATTGTGTTCTACATTTTTAAAAATAAATGCTAACTTTGGCCAGTGTTTGTGAATAAGTGGCTACTAAAAAAGACTGGACATACCCCATATTGAATACTCTGGGTTGTCTGCTTAAAAAAAGTACATGTGAGGTGTGATTCTCAGATTTATGACAGATGTGTTACAATGTAACTATTGATACATTTTGAAAATATATATTTTGAAACGGCAATGTCCTTTTATAGCCCTATAACTTGCAAAAAAAGCTAACATGTATTTCTAAACTATTTAGCACAGGTGTTTTTTGGCGGTTGTAGATGTGTCAAAGTTAGTTTTTTTTTACTTTGATCATTTACTATAAAAATGATATTTAAATCTTCAGAAAGACCGTTTAAGGGTGAGAAACTGTATAATGTGTGGGTACAGTAAATGAGTAAGAGGAAAATTACAGCTAAACACAAACACCGCAGAAATATAGAGCTCTGGTCACTAAGGGGTTAAGAGATAACAAGGCACACCAGAGAGGACCACTAAGGGGGAGAGGAACAATAAATATTATTGAAAACAAAATCTGACTGGCATGTATATTTTGTGCATTTACCACTTAATAAAACAAATTTGCTTTAAAAAAAGAACTTTTTTCAAAACGGTAAATGTACAGAGTATCGGTAAGTTATCTGCCTAAAAGTTCAGATTCAGTATCGGCTCTAAAAAAAAAAAAAAGTAAAGATATCGGTCGATCCCTAGTAAGTTCGGCATGACAGTGCCGCTTTAAGAGCTGAATGCTACACACTACACCCTTCTCCCTATATACCATATAAAACAATATTGGCTTTGGAACATTTAATATAAAGTCACTGGAACTTCAGGGGTTAATATCAATAGTGCAGTAGTCCTCTCATTTTGTCCACTACTGCTGGGTGTTTAAGTGTGAGAGACAGATCAGAATACAATGAGCCTGAAATTCAAACACTTGACTATTTGAATCTTAAACTGACTTCTGCAACAGATCTAAGGTTGTTAGTTTATAATGGGTGGGACGGTTTCTGTTGGTTCCTATCTGCCCTTTAGGCCTCTGTTGGTCATATTACCAGAACAACCAGTTGGTGGGTCTTAAGCTCTTAGCACCATGAACAATAGAGCTCATGTAGTCTACATATTCTGCCAAGTCAGGCTCTCTGAGTTCTTAAATAGTTCTTCTTTTAATGCACTCAAACAGCTCTTTAACCCCTTAAGGACCAAACTGGCATAAAAGGGAATCATGACATGTCATGTGTCCTTAAGGGGTTAAATATTACTGAACCCATGTCTGCAGCCATGACAGAATGTCATAACATAGGTGTTTCAAATTTGTTGCAGTAGAAAAATAAGCTGCCTAGGCACACCCTAATCCCCGTGGCCCGCGCTATGGGCCACAGGAAGTGAGGGAGGCAGCTCAACTTGGTTCCTCTCGGTAACCGTGGCAACACTCAGATCTCGCGAGAATGAACTCTAGCCCCACAGGATGGGGGGTTAGTGTTAACTCACCACTGGACCACCAGGGATGGCAGCAGCACTGTTGCTCCCCCTACAAAAGGTTAGAAGGGAGGGTGGGATATTAACTAAATGACCCGCACATATACATCACCCTTAGACGCACAACCCTTACACACATACACACAGCAGTGTATGTGTGTGTGTATAACTTCTATATAAAGACCATGGTCTCGCTGTTTATATTCTGGTTAATCCAGCCTTTAGTGGCTGTCTCATTGACAGCCGCTAGAGGGCTTCTGCACTTCTCACTGATTTTCAGTGAGTAGACGCCAGCGTCCATAGGAAAGCATTGTGAATGCTTTCCTATGGACTGGCTGAATGCGCGCACGGGGCTCCTGCCGTGCATTCAGCCGAAGAGGAGGAGAGCTCCTCGCCCGACGCTGGAGAAAGAGTTTAACCCCTTACTCCTTAGAGCCTGGCTGGGGGCACCCTCAGGGCACTATAGTGGTCCTTTTAAGGGGTTAAAGCCGCTCCGCACTTTGTGTCCCGTTTTCTCCACCCAAAATGTCTCTCATAAAGACTGTTGGAGTTTGTGTGCTCTCTCGTGAGTGCACCACTGAGCAGGTGAAGAGCCAGGAACGGGAGGGCCAGCGGGAAGACACCTTGCTACAAGTAAATATACAAAATGTAAAAGACCCCAGAAATGTTCTTATCTAGTGCAGTCCCGGTATAGACTTACAACACTTGCAGAGCTTAAGGGCGTCCAGCGTCTAAGGGACTGAGTTGCTTAGTATCATAGAGGTGCTTCTAGAGGTTGTCTGATAAACAGCCACTGGAGGCAGTCTTAGTCCTGCAAGGTAATTATTGCAGGAGTAAATGGGACAGGCACTACACCTAGACCACTTCAATTAGAAGAAGTGGCCTGGGTGCCTCTGTTGTGCCTTAACACCAAGTATGAAAGGAATACACAAGTGCGCATGCAGAATTTCCTTCACGTGCATGGAGCATCATTGGTATCACACCTCACCCTCTACACCAGGGTTTGAGATATATGCTTTGAATCTAGGAGCCAGTGGTGGGGGTGTGTGTGTGTGTTTTTTGTTTGTTTTTTTCAAAGCTGTTTAGTCACACTACCACTTATTGCATGATCTTTGATGTAAACCCTGCCTTTTCAGTGAAGAAATCCTCCAGTTTTCAGTGTGAGCCCTAAAACCATACACCCTTGCTTGGGTGGTGTTATATGGAATGTTTAGCTCAGCAGTAAGTACTTTTATTCTTCTGAACCTCTGCAAGCCAATGTCTACCTGTGGCATTATGTGCTTGTAGCTGCGGTAGAAGATCTAAAAAGTTAGATCACCCTGTCAACAAATGCAGTGTTATATTAAAAGGGTTACTTTAAGCATCATAAACACTACCGCCTGCTGTAGTTATGGTGCCCCAGTAATGAGGCAAACCATTCTTACAATGGTTTGTCTTTTTGCCTAGGTTCCCATGCACAGAAATGACACTAAAAGGTCTGGATCTCTAGTTGTATTGCAGTTGTCTGAAACTTAAATCATGACTCTTGACACTTTCTTTCCAGGCTTCAGGTGTGGCTGTGTGTGATAAAGTTATCAAGACTTTCAATGACATGAAGGTGCGCAAAACTTCCACCACAGAGGATATGAAGAAACGCAAGAAGGCTATCCTCTTCTGCTTAAGTCCTGATAAGAAAACCATTATCCTAGAGGAGGGCAAGGAAATTTTGGTTGGAGACATCGGTACCACAGTTGATGACCCCTACAAGACATTTGTGAAAATGCTACCCCTGGATGACTGCCGTTATGCCCTCTATGATGCCTGCTATGAAACAAATGAGACCAAGAAGGAGGATCTGGTTTTCATCCTCTGGTGAGCATGTGCAAACTAGGGAAGATATTTATAAATCTGCTTCTAGCTTGGGGGAGTAATGTAAAATAAGACTGAAGCTAGATGTCCATTTTGTATATAACTTAGTGTGTGTAACTGGTTCTTGTGCCTCTGATAATCTGTTGCCTGAAAATGGGGGGGGGGGATGTCCCGTTGACTGACTAACATGTTTGTAGCAAACTGGATTAATCATGCATAAATGGGCTCTTATAAAAGTAATAAGCTCCCAAACTGTTTTAGAAACTTTCATTGTCTTGTTTTGGAAGAGACTACTATAGTGAAATACAACTTTTTATTAAACCCTAGAAAAAGCAATATTTGCTCACACCCAATTCTACAGCTCTGAGGCAGTGTCATGGCAGCGAGACAAGGTGCTGGGGAAGTGACACACAAATGGAGCTATGGAGAAGGGCTGGGGAAGGGGCAAAGGAGAGAGGCTTTAGTCTGTTCAATTAAAACCTACAGGATATTTGGTAAATTATAACTATTCAGATTACTAAACTGGCATTTCATTTAAAAGACTGCCTAAAACTAAATTGAAATTTGCTGCCAAAATTAACACTGCTCTGAGGAAAGTAGTGCTTATCTATGAATCTGTCAGTCTAGAAGTCCTGCCAAATTGTATTGCACAACACAAACGTGGACACCCAGAAGCATTTTGTGCAGCAGTGACTCCTTTCAAGAATAGATGACTACAGTTCTTCTTGATAATGGACAAATTGTTTCAAAAGGCACTAATAGCAGCTATACAACTTTACTGTACATATTGGGCAAACTATAAGCATGTTTCTTTAGATTACTATAGATATGTTAAGAATTTCAAAATGGTGTTTAGTGTCTATATTTTTTATTTTTTCCTCCTTTTTAGGTGCCCTGATAATGCTTCACTGAAAAGCAAAATGATCTATGCCAGTTCTAAAGATGCACTCAAGAAAAAAATGACAGGTGAGTTGCTGCTTCTAATGGATTATACACTAAAGCACTGGATTAAAAGCTCACATAGGCTGTGCATAGTGTGCCTTCCTTAAGGAAAAACGGAAGGTTTTGTGGAAGTATTAGTTGGGTAGTGTAGCATTTCCAGTAACTGGAGTACTCACTGGCTTCAATTGTCATTTAATGAATTAAATGTTAGGCAAAGCTGACCACCTGTACATTCAGCCTGACTTAGCATGTTATCTCTCCCTATAACTTTCCAAGACACCATAAAACCTGTACATGGGGGGTACTGTTCTACTCGGGAGACTTTGCTGAACACAAATATTAGTGTTTCAAAACAGTAACATGTATTACAACGATGATATCGCCAGTAAAAGTGACGTTTTTGCATTTTTCATGCACAAACAGCACTTACACGGACGATATTATTGCTGTGATACTTCTTACTGTTTTGAAACACAAATATTTGTGTTCAGCGAAGTCTCCCGAGTACAACAGTACCCCTCATGTACAGGTTTTATGGTGTTTTCAAAAGTAACAGCATCAAATATAAGGCTTGCGTTTCATTTTTTTCACATAAAAATTCGCCAGGTTGGTTACGGTGCCTTTGAGACCCTATGGTAGCCAGAGAATGAAAATTACCCCTATGATGGCATACCATTTGCAATAGTAGACAACCCAACTGGGTATGTCCAGTCTTTTTTAGTAGCCACTTAGTCACAAACACTGGCCAAAACTGGCTTTTTTTTATTTTATTTTTTATTTTTTTTGCATTTTTTTTGCATTTTTCACAAACAAATACTAATGCTAACTTTGGCCAGTGTTTGACCAAATGGCTACTAAAAAAGGCTGGACATACCCCATTTGCAATACCTTGGGTTGTCTACTATTGTAAATGGTATGCCATTATGGGTGTAAATTTAATTCCTGGCTACTATAAAGTCCCAAAGGCAACGTAACCAATCTGGCGAATTTCAATTTCAAATGGAACGTGCTATATTTGACCCTGTAACTTCCCAAAACGCCATAAAACCTGTACATAGGGGGTACTGTTTTACACGTGAGACTTTGCTGAATACAAATGTGTAGTTTATTGCAGTAAAAGCAAACAGTATTATGACATTGACAGTTAAAATGTCATGTAGAACTAAAAAAAATTAATATAAAAAAAAATGGGAGAAAAGAAGAATTTTTTTAAATTATGTTTCATAGCTAAATATTTGATATTAAATGAAAGCCCTGTTTCCCCTGAATAAAATGATATATAATAAGGGTGGGTGCATTTACTATGAAAGAGGTAAATTACGGTTGGACAGACATGTAGTGCAAATGCCAGGTTTTGTTTACATTTTGTTTCGTTCACAACGTGTACATTTGGCTCAGTCCTTAAGGGGTTAAGGAACAACATGACATACAAGATGCATATTTGCCTGTGTAGCCAAAAATCTTCTCTGGCCTTTACAAAAGCCGATGTTTTAGCATTCAGGTGTCGATACAATGGCAAGGAGAGACATCAGCAATGTTCTTAGAGAATAAATTTCTGCTGGCCCTCAAACTGGGTTACAAGTCAATTTCCAAACAAATTAAAGTCTGTCATTGCATCTCAGACTCTACAGGCCTACATTAGCATGTTAAAGTTCATGACTGTACAAATATGGTTTGTTTAGAAAGGTTGAAAGGAGAGAGCCTCTTCTCTCTAAAGAGCATAGCAACACTGCTTAGGTTTGCGAAGTTGCATCCGAAAACTTCCGGTACAGACAAGACCAAAGGCATAACTCACAGCATCACTGCATATCAGTACAAACCCCTCATACACCTGTCTAGAACTGGTGGCGGTGTGATTTGGGCTAGTTTTGCAGCCACAAGAACCTCGGAACCTTTGTCATTCAACCATGAACTCCTCTGTATACCAAAGTATTCTAGAGTTAAATGTCATCTGTCCGACAGCTAAAGCTTGGCAAAAATTGGGTCATGTAATAAGACAATGATCCCAAGAACACCAGCAAATCTACAACAGTGGTTGGTTGAAAAAAGAATCAAGGTGTTGCAATGGCCCAGTCACAGTCCAGACTTCAACCTAAATTAAATACTGGACCAGGACCTCAAGAGCTGTGTAAATGCCAGCAAAACTCAATGAACGTGCACACACTTGACAAATCCTGGTTGCCATTGTGACTAGAAATTTTGCCAGTACTGCCGGGAATAATGGAGCCGGCTGCAGTGAGCAGGATGCTGCTCGTGGGGGCGATGTGCAAGGGAGCAGTGCTCTACCTGTAGTTGCTCTCTGCTCCCTTGTGCTCTGTGTAATGATGCCGGGAGCCAGAACATGACACCGCCCCAGCATCATTGGAGAGCAGCTACAGGCAGAGTACTGTTCACTCACACGCAGGATGAGAGCAGCCCCACTGGACACCAGGGTAGAGAAGCTGAGTCGGTTTCAATAAAAAGTGTGTGTATGGGAGTCTATCAGAATGTGTGTCGGGGTGTGTGCGCATTTATGGCTGAGATTCAGTCTTTATAATCTCGTCTAAGCCAATGCTTTCCTTTAGAAAAGCATTGGGGGATTTTGTGCATGCGCAGCAAATGTGCCAACCCACATCTCCTCAGAGATGCATTGAGTTAATGAATCTCTGAGGAACATTCAGCGCATCCATGCAGAGCTTGGAGACACTGAATGTGGATGCTGCACATGGTGCAGCAGTGATCCAGGACACTCTAGTGGCAGTCTGTCACTAGAGGGGTTACTAAAAAGCAATGTAAACACTGCATTTTCAATGAAAAGGTAGTTTTTACCGTCACGGGAGTCGTAACCAACATGCAGGAAAGAGGAAACTACAAAAGGTGGATTTGAAAGACTTATTACTGAGTCTTAGAATGGCCGGTCTTAAAACTAAACAAGAATCAGGGTCAAGAATAAATCAAGGACAGGAATACTTGGTCAAGGCAAAGTTTGGGTCAGGATACCAAAAATCACGAGTCAAAGACTGGAAGTCACGAGAATCACTAGGAGCACTAAACGAGTTTCTAACAAACCACAATAGGGCAATGAATGGGGTCTAAAACAAGCCTTAAATAGGCTTACTTATGTTCTGACAGGTCTACGTCATCACTGCGATCCAAAACAGATTAGGATTGCAATGATGACGTGGTCACTCTAAGAGTGAATGTGACGTCCACATCTATATAGTTGTGTAGTTCAGTCAGACCTCGCAGCAGGAGGAGTTAGTCTATGATCGAGTGAGGTGATGAGGGGGTTTCCCTTGGTCTGTGGGGATTGGCGGAGGTAAATAATGCCACATTTATACTGAAAAGCCTGCAGGGACAGGCTGTAGTGGTTATGGTGAATAGTGTCCCTTTAAGAATTGCATTTTTTTTGTTGGAAATTACTGGCTCCTAACATTTTTAGGTGGCTTCTAGATTCCAAATAAATTTGTCAAGCCCTGAACTAAAGTAAGTTGTAAAGAATGGGCCAATATTCCTCATTTGAGGTACTGTTAAAGTTATTGATGCTAAAGTGGTATAAGGTGTACTTTGGTTGTTCACTCATGGCGTCTCAACTTTAGCTTTATTTCTGTTGAATCATGACATGCTGTAATGTCATGTTCATCTGATGTTGTTTACTTAATTTTAAGACTGGATAAGTGAAGACTTGACAAATTTGCATTAAATCTAGGAACAAATGTTAATTTTTTGATGGCTTTATTTTCAGCAATTAATACAACTCTTAAAGGGACACAAGCCACCAGGACTGTCCTTGCAGAGAAAACAGATTGTCCTGATATGTAAAACCACAGAATTCAAAAAGGATGTATTTTTGATACAAATACAAAGGATGTATTTCTTGATCTATGTATGGCATTTTGCATGCCTTTTTGAAAGTCCAATGAAGCAAGTTCTAGTACTGCCATGTAGTAACCAGACTTTTTTTTTTTTTTTTCACATTTTGTAGGTATCAAGCATGAGTTGCAAGTAAACAACTTAGAAGACCTAATGGATCGTTGCATTCTTGCTGAAAAACTTGGAGGCAGCAGTGTCATTTCCCTGGAAGGAAAGGCCTTGTGAAACTCCCATCCCATTCCTTACCCAGTGTCTGTGCCACTCCTTAAAGGGGCTTCCATGTACCCATGATCACAGTGTCCCCTTTGTAGACCCTTTATTCACAATACCCTTTTTTTAAATATAACTGACACACCTACAAGCAGGTACCACCTATCAACACCTTCTGTAGACAGGCCCAGCCTTCCTCTTGGTAACCTGCCTTTTGGTCTCCACCTTTACAGATTTGTTTTTTTTTCTTTTCTTATTTTGGGCCTTGAAACATTGGCAGCTTTTCAGTCCGAATTTGCACATTGGCTTTTTTTAATTTTATTTTTTATTTATAAATTTTTTTTTTTTTTTGCTGCCCTGCTCCACTGCAATCTGCATTTATCTTAGAAGTTTGAGTTATTTTTGCCAAATGCAACCTGGCAGCATATATCCATCCTGCTATATATTCTATTCTTCTGTACATGAGCTGTAACTGTAGATATTCCCATTGTGCATTGAATTCAGGAGGATCAAACAGCTGAGTGGTTCCTACATTCCTTTGCCTATTTAATAGCTGCATACCATTTTCACTCATTCATTCCTTTTTTTTTTTTTTTTTTTGGCAAACTATTTCAGCCAATGAAGTACTCTTAATTTAATGTTTACTTTAAACTTGAGATTGTGGGACACCGCCCCTTCCTTAGCCCTGTATTCCATATTTTTGCATTTGAAATAGATGGCCGCATACACACTAAATATTTTGCCAATTTATCTCTGCAAATTACATAGTTTCATAGTTGAAAAGAGACTTGCGTCCATCAAGTTCAGCCGTGCTCTCATGTTTTTGCTGTTGCTCCAAAAAAATCCAGTCTGAAGCCCAAATGTATGGCCCTCTGCTCCTCTACTATTATGGATAAAGGGTCTATTTTTGGGAGGGTGTAGATTTTGTTTTCTGTATAAGATTTTCACCTTTAGTACCTCTTGTCCCTACACCTCAAAGTCAAACAAACATTAACTGCGGTCTCCAATTTATTTTTTCAGAGCTCTTTACTAAATTGAGAATTGTGAGGAACTTAAACTTCAAGGTCAGCATACACAAACTGGAAGCATTGTTGCCTTGGAGAATTTTTCATTTTGGATTTCTTGACCATAGATGTTAAATTCTCTAATTTCCAACACTTTTCACTCTAGTAAATAACTCTGTTTGTCTTGTGTTACTAATAGTCATACTGGCAAATCCAACATTAATAAACTTATAAAGGTATGTGACTTGTGTTGCTTATTTTCTTTAAAAAAAAATTTAACTGTAAAATAAGGTTTCTTTGTGTAACTAGATGTACTTGACAGTAAGCAGTATGACTAATATCTACAAACTGTCTGGACCAAGGTAATAACTGAACAGGGAAAAATAAGCTACGGGTGATATTGTAGAATTTGCAATTGTGCCCTGCAAGCCACTGAACAGATTACAAAACCTATTGTATCTTAAAGGGACATTCTACTGCCCAAATGTGCAAAAAGAATCCTGTTCGCATATATACGTATTCATTGAGATATAACCTCAATGAATACGTACATGTAATCATTGGTAAGATTTAACTGTGCTTGGTCTGGAGGAGCTGAGTGAGTTGGTCTGTGGGAGGAAGTAAACAT